AAAAAAAAAAAAAAAAAAAACAAGAACCGACCTCAGAGCCTGATAGTCACCTGTCTCCTAGAAGAAAGCATCTCCGAGAAAAGAGGGGGGAAGGCTTTGTGGAGGCGGGAATCACCCATTAGTTGCCTGACAATGGCGTTGACTTACTCAGCTCTGAGCCATGATCTTATCACTAAGAGCAGAACTGTAAAGTGTTTAGATCCCCCAAATCAGTGGCCTAGTAGGTGATTTGGTTTTAAAACAAAACTGCCTGTGCTGTAATGGATTCAAAAAGAGTTCATATTCACAGAACCCTCAGTGCAGGCTACTGTTTACAGAGTTGACCGAATCCTGGTAGGTAACCCCTGTATGCATTATCCAAAGGACATCTTGAGTTTTCCAGCATAGGCACAACCTGGGATGGATCAAGTTGATTCCTTCGAGAACTGAGAAGCACTCATGTGGCCTTTCTTGTTTACATCCAGTAGCCAAGACATCCATCTCAGGGAGCCAGCCTTGGTCCGTGTGGGAGCTGTCATATTTAGACAGATTGAATGCTGATGTGTTCTGATTGTCACTCTGAACTAAACAGAGGCCTAATTTGTTTATTTTCATGTCAGAAAACAGTCCACATGCTTTCTGTTGTTCAGAACTTGAAAGAATGTCAAGGGGTCCTGTTAATAACTTTGTTCACTTCAGTTTACAAGAGGCATGGAGGTTGTGGCATTCTTGACAAGCTGGGGTAAACATTCCTGAACTCATTTTTTTTTTATTAGAGGGACAGCCATTTAGCAGGTACCCAAAACATCTTCCTTCACCTCTGGTCTCCCAAGCCTGGGATTTGGACATTAAATCTTACAGAAAGCAGCCAGTACAAGTGTCTTCCTGCATTCCAACTAAAGGCTTAAGAAGTACCACATAAAACTGTGGTTGCAAACTTCAATTTCTCTCAGCTTTCACAACCTTGAGTTATAGCCAACATCCTAACTCAGATTGTTTAAAAACAAACTTTTGTGGTGAATGCTGAGCTAGAGATGGCCCCCAAGCAAGCCCCTCTGGAGATAAGATGGGGTATTAGATGCTGGAAGAAAGGTTTAACAGTCTGCCTTTATGCAATTGATGGCGGACTAAACACCTGCTGAGGTCAGGGTTTGGATGACTTAGATGCAAATCAGCAGGTGCTTTCTGCATTCTGATTGGCCCGAGCAGACGGATGCTGTGGTTGGGACAAGCTCAGCATCCTCATCTTGTCAAAGAACCTCACCCTTTTGCCTCTACAACCCTGAGAAGGGAGAAAATATTGAGACTAAGGAACTAATTAGTTCTCAAACGAATAGAAGTCTCTGCAACGGGATAGTGCTGGAAGGCTTATGTTTTGAAAATCTTGACTGTTAAAGAAGTTTGAATACATCACATTCCTATGCAAAATGTTTTTAATCCCCAGTTTAATGTACTTTGTTTTTGCTATATGTAAAGTATTTTTATACAGCTTGTATCATGATAGTTTAGCAATAAAACAGTTGAAAGCAATGACAACTTTGGTGTATCTTTCTTCTTTCTAGAGACTGTTCAAATATCCCCTTTACATGTCCAGTTCATTCAACAAGGGACAGTTTTGTGTGCACATACTCCGTTTACTCTTTGTCTCATCCCTATGAGGTAGGCACTGTCCATTTTACAGCTGACACTAGGGTTCAGAAACCACTTACCCAAGGTGACAGAGCCATGCGGTCAACGTGGATTCGTCCGAGTCTCTCCCTGCTCTCTCTCTCGCAGCTCTGTTGTGGTTGTGTCTCTAGACCTCTTTGGAAGTGGCAGCCAGGTAAAGTAGATTCATGGTGCCCACCTTGGGCCAGCTCACAGAGGAGCCCAGAGCAGCCAATTGGGCTGAGCTGATTGCTTGGAAGGCAAATGTATCCCTTTGCTTGAACATCTTACAAAAATCTCAAAGTTAGAAAAAAAAAGAATAGCTATTTTTTACCAACAAACCCACAAACAGAATTAGATATGATAAATACTAGAACTTTCCAGCTGGCTTCCTCCTTACATCAGCTTTTTTTCCTTCACACTTAAGAGGTTTTGAAATAATTGCTATGTAAGTTTTATTATTATTCAAACAACTTCCTCTTACCCTTAAGCCCCAGGGAAGCAGGATCTTTGCCCCAGGCCCTGTGCTTCAGGATCCTCTGTGACCCTGCACTTGGGATCCCTCCCTGTGCCAGGACCCTGCAGTACCTCGCAGCAGGGTGTGCCTAGCACATGCAGGGTCCTACGTGGGTTCTGGCTGCTGGAAGCACCTGCCTTGAAAGGCTGGAGTCGCCCCTTCTGGTGGCTGGGACCAGCTAAGTTCCCATTTCTTCCATTCAGGCACAAGGTCAACAAGCAGCCCCAAAGAGCTGCAGACCCCACACCTATGGCGTCTAAGCCAGTTTCCAGAAGACACAGTATTGAAAACAAATTTTTTGTGGCATCGATTGGGTCACCAGAATGAAACACTGAGGATGTCTCAAATTGCTTACGTAGACAGGAACCCCACAAAATGTTGCCCAAGTTCACACACTCTAGGGGCAACTCTGCCCCCTTGTGATTTTTACTATAGCTGTGTACAACCACTTTTCTTTAAACTAACTCAAACTGAAAACCTTAAGCCACTTTTTCTGAATAGAAACCCAGAACCATCTTAAGCAGAAAACAAGGATAAAACTAAACAGTCACTTAAAAAATAAGTCTGCATTCTGTATTTATATGTGAGTCACATTTGATAAACACAGTCAAATTCACCCAGTGCCTTAGTTGTGCCAGATGTAAAATGGTAAGAATAAGCCCCATGTCTCGGGCATTGAGTGCTTCTTAAATGTTAGCTATCGATGGAATAGCCCATCAATCAGCAAACAGGTTTAAGATTCCCCCATGGCTGGATACTTTCCCAATTCTGGGAAGGAAACAGAGCTCTGACAATAGGTCTTGAATTTTTCTAACAATACCATTAAAGCCACACGCTTGATCTTAATCCAATTTAAAAATCCTGAAATAACCGGGAAACACACCCTGGGGGCAACTGGCTAGTCCTCCTTGGGGGAAACTTTGCAATCTGTGAATGTCCCTTGCTACATGCAACAGCATGGCGTGGTTCTTTACTAAGGAGCAGAAACAGAATGCTGGTTTAGTAACAAGTGGAAATTTAGGAAGTAATAAAACTTAGAGGAGAAAAAGTGCTGACTCCTATACAGCCTGTTCAGGTTCATAAATCGGAAGGAAACTCTTTTCTTGGCAGGAGCAGGTTGACTATGAAATAATCCTGAGAAGGAGGCATAGATGACAGGGACCATTAAGAAATGAAAGCAAAGTTGTTTCTTCCACTGGAAGACCCTGGTGGCTGAAGGAGCCGGAGGCACATTCACTGCAAGCGTCCTGCCGTGTTACGGTTCAAGGATGAACGAAGTTGGACCAAACTTTCTCCAGGGAGGACCCCCCACTTAAACTGCCTCTGCCTTTACCCTCCTGGTAAAATTCAGAAGTTGAACTTGATAAATGGCCCAAGTGAAGTTATCACTGAAGAGATGGAAACCCCTGTGTTGTCCCAGGATTTCCAGGAATTCTTAGTTCACCAGAAACTTCAAACTCTGAAACTTTACATGAACTCCAGATACAAAGTACAATGATGATCTGATTTTTAACTTTTTAGAGGGGAGGATGAGACAGGCTTCTATGAGCTACTGATGAAATTTCTCAGGAAACTCCCCCAGAACATACTTTGGCTGGTTTCAAGTGGCCCTCAAAAGATTCAGAGGGTAGCTGCCTATTACCTGGTCACGAGCCCTCTGCAGTTAATGCCATCAGGACAGCTCCTGAGGAAAAGCATGCAGAGGACTGTCTTGGCACCTTCTACATACACCTTCACATACACACTTCTCCAGACGCCTATGCGACAGCCTATGTGACTTCTCCACTTTGATGGTCAGGAGGCATTTCTGGCTCAGCATCCCCTGATTTTCCTAATTCCCTATCTCCTCTCCTCCTATCCCCACCCTGGTCCTCCAGCACACCCTGTCCTCCCCATCAGTTTGTGGCAACACCATCTAAGTGATTTTTATCCTGGATCCTCCACTGTCCCCAGCCCCACACATCATCAAGTCTTGGAAGGTTCATCTCTTAAATCAGTTCTTTGTTTCATGCCCACTGGACCACTTTTATCTTGTGCCTGGATGACAGAGCAGCCTCCCTGCTGCCCTGGCTGACCCCACAGAGCAGCCAGACTGAGCTTAAAGAGAACTCAGATCACAGCACGCCCATGCCTAAAACCCTCCGATGGCTTCCTTTTGCATTTAATTTTTTCCAACTTTATTGGGGTATAATCAACAAAAATTGTATGTATTTAAGGCATACAACATGAAATCTTGGTAAGCGTAAAATTTGTTGTATATGTCAAATAGGTTGATTTTTGGTAAACATTCATCACTTCACATAGTTACTTTTTGTGGTGAGGTCACTTAAGATCTAGTCTTTTAGCAAGTTCCAAATACATAATACATTATTAGACCTGTAGTCACTGTGAAGTACATTAGCTCTCCAGAACTTACTGATCTCATATCTGAAAGTTTGCTCCCTTTGACCAAAGTCTATTTTCCCCCCATTCCTGGTAACCACCATTCTACTCGTTACTACAAGTTTTACATTTTTAGGTTCCACATGTAAGTGGGATCATGCAGCATTTGTCTTTCTCTTATTTCACTTAACATAATGTCCTTCAGTTTCATCCATGTTGTTACAAATGGCAGGATGTCCTTTCTAGGGCTGAATATTTGATTGTGTGTACACATATGTATATATATATATATATATCACATTTTCCTCATCCCTTCATCCATTGATGGATACTTAGGTTGTTTCTGCATCATGGCTACTG